ATTGTAAAGCACTAGAATCACAGAAGTTTAGAATTGAAATAAACTTCAGCAACCATTCAATCCAAAAAAAAAGTAGAAAACAGAAATAAAGAATTCTCACTGTAACACACCTGACTTTTCTGATCATCCAGGCTTTCTTTGAAGACTCCAGTGAAGGTGAACTCAACTCCTCCAAAGACTACCTATTGCACTTTTGAAAAGCTCTAGTTGGTCAGAAGTGTTTTCCTGACATCAAGCCTAAATGTTCCTTTTTGTGACTTTCACCCTTTGCTCCTGGTATAGCCCACTAGAGCCAAGAAGATGCAATGTTCCCTCTTCAAAATGACCTTCAAATACCTGAAGTTAGCTATCATATCATCATTCCCCCCTCAATTCCTACTCTTCTGTTATGCAAGTTAAATTTTCCCAGATCTTTCAACCAGTCTTCATATGACATAGATGTTACCCTCCAAGGTATCCTCCTTTGGATATACTGTCCCTTCTTAAACTAATACCGATGGATGAACACAATACTTCATAAGTGGTCTGACAAAGGTAGAAAGCAGGACTATTACCTCATTATCCTTTTTTTTTCCTTTCTCTTTTTCTTTTTCTTTTCTTTTTTAGCAAGGCAGTCAGGGTTAAGTGAATTGCCTAGGGTCACACAGCTAGTAGGTAGTCAAGTATCTGAGGTCAGACCTGAACTCAGGTCCTCCTGACTCCAGGGCTGGTGCTGTATCCACTGCACCACCTAGCTGCCCCACGCCTTGTTATCCTTGTAAACAATGCCTCACAATGAAATGCTTGATCTCTTGGAGAAGCAAACTTCTTCCATGAGTAAGGAGGCAACAGTCCCTCAGTACTCTGCCCTAGTGAGATTGTATCTGAAATACTAAGCATTAATACTGCTACCCTGTGGAGTGTTTATAAATATGAGTTATTTCTTTAGTTTTGCATGAAAATTTAGAAAGCATCAGAAATGTTCAATTTATGGATATAATTTTTAGAAGGTAAAAGAGTCTTCTTCCTTGAATCTAGCAGCTATGCCTTGTTTTTGAAGAATGCCTTCAGAAGGTTAGATTGTACCATGGAGTATATTGCTACCTGAGAGCAGGGTGCATTGGGAGACATAAACTCTTATCATGCCCTAGAGTTGTGCAACAGTAATTTTCTCAGGGATTCCCTAGTGGCTCTAATGCATTTCCCCAAGTGTCTTTATAACATAACAGCACTCTCTGTTCAAAGAGTTTTATAGTAACATTATTGTTATTGCAAAAAAAACCTTGGAATTAGCCTAAATGTCCAACAGTAGGGGAATGGTTAAAGAAATTATGACAGAGTAATGCAGTGGAATACAATTAAGAGTGACAAGTATGAAGAACATAAGAAAATACAGATTGATTTTTATAAAATAAAGTCAATTTTTTAAAAAATGCCAAACCAGATAGTAGAGTAGACACTATCTGTGACCATATAAGGATAAGTGAATGGAAATGAATGGACAAAAAATCCTGATAGTGACTAAAAATTAAGACATTTGTGCACTGAAATTCATTTATCTAGATGTAAAAGGCTGCTAACCAAGTTTGATTGCTTGTATTGATGTTTAGGGTGAAGATTTGGCATGGTTCCACTTTTGAAATGTTGTGTAGCAATGTGGCATGTTTTTTAGCATCACTAGGTATGCCTTTCTGATTGTTTACCCATAGGCATTAATAGCTCTTTCTTGGCAGAAAGGTTTACTCCCTAGTCTCTTGAATCATCCTCCCCTGGTGTGTTCTACCATTGGACCACACTTTGAAAAACAGATGAAATGTGCCTGTTCGATCAATTCATTTTTCCAATCTTGTTTGTAAATGACAAATATGATTATATTAATGTATAATTAATCTACTTATCTGTGTTTATTTGAGTTGAATTAATATTTTATTTAAAATTTGATTAGCCCCTAACTTATGAGCAGGTGGTATTCCAAATGGTCATTTTTAAGTCTGTTGTCTGAAATTCAGTAGACATTTTCCCATAGAAACCATGTCACAAGTCATGTTTAGATTCCCAGGCCAGCTTATAAAACTTAGTTAACCCATAATGTACCTGAAGTATTGCATTAGTAACATTTTTTTTTCAGCTGCACTTGCCTATCATTTATAACATAGTTCCTGTGGAGAAAAAGCATTTGATTTCCAACTTTGAATATATGTCTTCCTATTACAATGGCTTATCCATCAGCCAGATCAGGGATAGAGATTTCATCCAGGGGATCAAGAGAAGCTATTACTAGGTGTCAGTAGCTTGTTAGCTTTCTACGTTATTTATCAGAGAAAATAACTGTCATTTAATTACCCCCAAAATATTTGGACTTGAGGAGTGAAGAGGAGATGGCCAGCTGGGGTGGGGCTCTTGCTCTATAACTCTAATGTCTTTTCTTATCTGGAGGTCATTTTTAAAAAATTCATGTTGTTTGTAAATCAAGGATTTATCTGAATTGCTCTTTGTTGCTTTGTCATTTTTTAGTAACTTATACTCTGTCATGATTTCAATTATTCTATCCCAGTGATTCATAAAACTACACCTTCAGTCCTCTCTTCTTACCTGAGCTCTAGATTGTGTTTCTACTAGATTCCATACTTTTTTGGTTGGTATCTGACTATAACCTGAATTTCAACTTGTCCAGAACAGAACTTATCTCCCTCAGTCAACACCATGCATCTCCTAATTTTCATGGCTGTTAATGGAAAGCCTGCTTTCCTGGTCAATTATAATTGAACCTTGAGAGTCACATTTAAGTCATTATCTCTTTTTTCATGCCTCCTATTCTTTCAGCTACCATATCTTGCCAATATTTCCTTTAAAATACCTCTTAAACCTCCCTGGCACTCCATTCCTGATGCCATCACCATTATGTACTCTTGGATTACTGCTTCTCAAGTCTATACTACTACGTAGTACTTCTGGATCAATCCGTCACAAGCATATATAATGTCTTCTGTGTGACAGGCACTCTGGTAGACACTAGGGATATGAAGACAAAAAGGAAATGGCCCCTGCCCTCCGAGTAGTAACATTCTCTCAGGGGAGACAATGTGTATGCATAGAAGGGTGTGTGTGTTTATATATGTTTTCTACAACTTTATGTATGATATCTCAATATAGGTAGTTCCCAGTAAGGAGCTCCCTGGAACTATACCTAGTGATACCTGGTCTGCAACTTATACTTTTATAGGGTTTCTTGGGGCACCGGACATACCCACAGACACATAACCAGGCAGGACTTGAATCCAGGTCTTGCTGGCTCTGAGAAGCCAGCTATCTATTCACTTTAAATTTGTTTTACTTGACTATGCATATTTGTTACAAGGGTTTCTTTGTTCTTTTATTTTCCACTTGTGTAGGAGAAAGAGGTGGGAAGGAGGAGAAAAATAAATGCTTGTTAATGGAAGAAATTAATAATAAATAAATTATCCGCAGGGGTCCACCCTACACTCCAACAATAGTGTATGTGTGTATAAAATAGAAGGTATTAGCATCTATGGAATCAGGAAGTACTTCATGTAGGAAGTGGCATTTGAACTGAACTTTGAAGGAAGAAATTGGGGCTTCAAGAGGCCAGGGTGAGGATTATGTTTATTCCAAGTGTAGGGGACAGTCTGTGCCAAGACAGGGAGATAGGATATGGAGAGTTGTGCATGAGGAACAGCATGAGGGCCAATGTGGCAGAAGCACAGAGCTCATGTATGAACAGCATATTGTTTTATAAGGCAGTAGAGGTATTTTGGAATCACATCATGAAGGACTTAAATCAGTTTGCTCCTAGATGTAATAGAGAGTTAGAACTCATTGAGCAGCAGAATGGTATGGTCAGACCTGTTCTCTGAGAATATCACTTTGGCATCTAGGTGAAGGATTGAGGCAAGGAGAGGTGGTGAGGGCCTTGTAGCTGTGAGAATGGAGATGTATTGAAGACATGTAGAGATAGAACTGGCAAGACCTGGCTAATGATGGGTAATATTGGATAAGGAAGAGTTAGAGATTGTGAACCTGAGTAACTTGAGGGGTTATGTTACCCTCCACAGAAATAGGCCTGAGATTTTCCAGTCCATATTATATTCTGCAGCCAGATTAATCTTCTTGAACATAAATTTCATCATATAACTTCCCTAATTGTTGAGGTTTAGGAGTTAGGGGTGCTGGGCCCCCAAAATAGGGACACGTGAGTCCTGCCCAAATGAATTTGACCCAAGCTTTCTTTCAGCCAAAGACAAGGTTTATTAAAGATTCGCCATATTGGCCAGACTCTTAAGGAATCTGAACATTTGACAAGTGGGCCAGGTTTAATCTGAGCATTGGCTAGATTTTAAGAATCTAAGCACCTTAATGGACACCATGGATCTTATATACAGAAAGACTAAGGGAGGGATCTAGGAGTGGCCAAGTAGTTTGGAGTGGCTGTAGGGAGGGGTCTAGGTATCAAGATAGAGAAGGTAACAGACTATGAAGGGCTGGGTGGGTCAGAAGTAACAGAACTGGGAGACTGGGTGTAGCCACTGTGAAAGGCCTGTTGAGTGGATTGTAGCCTCAGGCAAATGAGACTTCCTTGATCAAGTGGGAAAATTCAAGGTGTTCCAGGTAGGTGTTTCCAGAGCCTTTACCCCATCATAATCATGAATCTTCAGTTATTCCCTGTTTCCCTCCACTTCCACTCTAAATTTAAAAATATATATTATGAACTTAATAATAATAACACTTAAAAGTGCTTTAAGGCTTGCAAAGTGCTCTGCATATGCTCTTATTTGATCCTCACAACAACTTTAGGAGGTAGGTGCTAGTATCCTGTTTTACAGATGAGGAAACTCAGAAAGGTTAGGTGACTTGCCTGGGGTCATATAGCTGAGTGAGACAGGATTTGAACTTGGGTCTTCCTGACTCCATATCTACCACTTTATCAACAAACACAAATATGCCACCAGTGATAGTGATAACTTGGTACTTCTTTAGGATAGTTCAAGCTTAGGTAGACTTACTTTAAGGAGAGATGGGACAGAGCTGAGAAAGCCTGGCCTGGATCCCAGAGTGAATTTACATACTTTTGATAGAAATTGATGCAATTCTTTAAAGCAGAATCACAGAATTCTAGAATGTTAAAAACTGAAGGACCTAAGTGGTCATAAATTCCAATTATTTCAAACAACAATACTGAAGCCCAGAGTGGTGAAATGATTGCATAAATTAGTTCCCTTTCTGTGTATAAACTCTAAAGTAATACAGTTAAAACACAAAAGGAAAAAAATTACTAAATATCTATTTGGCACTTGGTAACTTACCTTACTTATCAGCTCTTGGGTTCCTCACTAATAGCTTATTTATCTCTCTCATTTGGCTGCCACAGACTCTTTTCATGGTTTATGGCCTATTTTGTTTCAATTTGTACTCAGTAAAAGGCTTTGGGGCATAACTGCCTCTGTGACTGGTCTCTGCTTCTCAGTTTTTGCATGCAAATCTCAGCAGATTCTTAACTTACTATAAACTGTTTCGGTAGCCTTCTAGAGTTTAGGTGTTGAATTTTTTCCCTCTCTGTATGGCTTTGAAATGTTATTTATCATAAATGCAGTTATTGTGTAAGTTATTGTGCTCTCATCTGTTTTTAATTCACTGGGTACCAGCCCCAAGCCATGAGTTTCTGGTCTGGATAAGTTCTACAGGTGCTAGAAGCCTCTTGTGAACAGGTCAAGCAGGCAGTAGGTCTAGCACATCTGCAGGAGAGGGACATTGAAGCGGCAAAGCAGGCATAAAATCTGAATTAAGCAAAATAGCCATTAAAAAGCTTCCACAGCAAAAAACCAAAAAAATCCAAAACTGTAAGGGGCCAGCTAGGTGGCGCAGTGGATAGAGCATCGGCCCTAGAGTCAGGAGGACCTGAGTTCAAATGCGGCTTCAGACACATAACACTAGATGTAACACTAGATGTGTGACCCTGGGCAAATCACTTAACCCTTCTGCCTAGCCAAAAAAAAAAAAAGTTTCCATCCACAAAATGAAAGAACCAGAAAGGCTCAATCACACAGGCAAGTCCAAAATCTCTTTCAGGTAAATTAGAGCGTTTACACATATTTAATGAACAGGATTTCTTAAGTGCTTACTATGTGCAAGCAAGCAGTGTATTTAGTGAGCATTGGAGAGAACACTACAAAAACAGAAAGAATGCCTGCCTTCCAGGAGCTTGTTCTAATGGAGGAGACGATACACATATATAGGAGAGCAGTGCCCAGGAAAGGTCAGTTCTATCCAGAAAGTAACAGGGAGGGTGAATAGAGCTATAGTGGAGTTAATTGGCACAGCCCTTCCAGATTCTGTGGCTGAGTTGATTTGATCATGGTTCCAGAACTAGAAAACGAGGGAGTAGGAGGGCTGGTCTGAGAGGTACAGTTCTACAGACAGTGGCTAGGCAGCTAGTGAGACCAGTGAGTAGAAAGTTAAAGCATGAGGAGGGCCTGCCTGATACAGGGCCAGGTGAGATGGTCATCAATCAGGAGATCCAGGGCAGCAGTTCAGGGGAGGAAAGACAATTTCCAGGGCAATGCATGGGCAAACAGGAACACACATACTAGAGTGTAGCTTGAACAGTTTCTCAATCATACTGCTGTGGTTTATGTGGCAGGGTCCAGTATCAGCAAAGCTCATAACTATAGGTAGTAACAGGCAGTTGGATGAGATGGAAAGTATAGGAAAAACTAGCAGTTTTCATAGAGATATAAAGGAATTTAGAGGTAGAAGGAAATAGAAGTCATCTTATCCAACCCCCTTATTTTACAGATAAAGCCCTCAGAGCCCATGACTTAGTAAGCAAATCTTGTTATTGAAACTGCATTTTCTTGTTTGGTTTCTTAATAGTCACCCTTAAAAAAAAAACCCTATATAAAGACCACACAAATTAAAACACACTAACAAAGTAAAGCAGGCTTTCTCATATTCCCCCAGCTAGAGAGGGCACAGGCCATTTAACATTTTTAAATAATTATTGATTTTTTTTTTAAATCTAGCTCTGCCATTTTACTGGTATAGGGAACTCCAGGTGAGCAAATATCCTCTATCAGTGTGGATTATCACCATCTCTGCTGTTCACACTCTTGGAGAGTTGCCAGGAGGGGCACTTGAGAGGCTAAGTGACAGCCAGTGTATGTCAAAGGTGGGACTTTTATCCCAGGTCTTTCCTACTCAGAGACAAGGTCTTTATCCAGTTTAACACTCTGCCTCTCCGGGTGATTTGTACTTGTAAAATAATACTGCACTGGAGTAGGTTAGAGCAAATGTTTAAGGCAGTGATTCTCAAACTATTCTTTATCTCCCTCTGGGTCATCTGTTGCCTGTCTTGTTAGATATTTAGAGCTGGGAGCTTAAGGGATCAGCACTATGGATTTGTAGCTCATTCCCCATAATAAACCCAAGCCAGTTTGAGGTTTGCCAGGAAGCTTGTCAGAATAAGGGCTACCCAACTCCTTAGGTTCTGGACACTATGAATATAGAAACAGAACATGCTCCATTGGGAAATAGCTAAATTAGTGTCTTTATTGATAGTTGGTCACTAAAAATGTAGAGGCTTTAAACTTTACAAACAATCTAGTAGGATTTTAGATTCTATGTCTTTGGGGAGAAATACCTAGAAAAAGATGAAAAACCAAAAGAAATAAATGAGAAAAGTTATTATCTTACTACTAACTTGTTGCTTCAGCCTTTAATGTTACCTTATCGCCTCTGTACATATCTTCTATATACCTAATTATTTACTTTTGTCTCCTCCATTAGAATGTGAGCTCATTGAGAGCAGGGTCTGTTGTTTTGTCTTTCTATTTATTCTCAATACTTAGCATAGCATTTAGTAAACTCTTTTAAAAAAACTTTTAAAATGTATTTATTCATTCATTCATTTATCCATTTATTCATTCATCTACTTATTTATTTATTTATTTATTTGTTTTTCATTTTCAGCATTCACTTCCACAAGATTTTGAGTTCCAAATTTTCTCCCTGTCTCGTCCTTCCCCCGACTCTTAAGACAGTGTACATTCTGAATACCCTTCCCCTAATCTGCTCCCACCTTCTTTTTATCCTCTCCCTCTTCTATTTTCCTGTAGAGTAGTATAGATTTCTATACCCCATTGCCTGTATATCTTATTTCCCAGTTGTGTGAAAACAATTTTTAATGTTTGTTTTTAAAACGTTAGGTTCCAAATTTTCTCCCTTCCTCCCTCCCCACCCACCCTCATTGAGAAGGCAAGCAACTCAATACAGATTACACATGTATAGTCATGCAATACACCTTCTTATAGTCATGTCATGGAAAACTATTTTTCCATTCATCCTAACCCACCCCCCATTTATTCTATTCTCTTTTTTGACCCTGTCCCTCCTCAGAAGTGTTTGCTTCTGATTACCCCCTCCCGTAATCTGCCATCCCCTTTATCATCTTCCCCCCCTTTTCCCCTCCCCCCTCATTTTCCTGCAGGGTAAGGTGGATTTCCCTACCCAATTGAGTGGGTATGGTATTCCCTCCTTAAGCCAAATCCGATTGAGAATAAGATTCACTCGTTCCTTCTCACCTTCCCCCACTTCACCTCCACTATAAAAGCCTTTTCTTGTCTGTTTTATATGAGATAATTTACCCCATTTGACCTCTCCCTTTCTCCTCCCAGTATAATCCTCTCTTACCCCTTACTTTTATTCTCCAGATATCACCCCTTCATTTTAACTTACCCTGTGCCCTCCATCTATCCATCTATCTATACATATAATTTTTTCCCTCCCACTACCCTTATACTGACAAAGATTTCATGCAGTACAAATGTCATCTTTCCATTCAAGAATGTAAACAGTTCAACCCTAATAAGTCCCTTATGATTTCTCTTTCCTGTTTACCTCTTCTTGCTTCTCTTGAGTCTTGTATTTGAAAGTCAGATTTTCTATTCAGCTCTGGTCTTTTCATCAAGAATGCTTTAAAGTCCTCTATTTTACTGAATGTTCATTTCTTCCCCTGAAGAATTATACTCAGTTTTGCTGGGTAGGTGATTCTTGGCTGTAATCCTGTTTCCTTTGCCCTCTGGAATATTATATTCCAAGTCCTCTGGTCCCTTAATGTAGAAGCTGCTAAATCTTGTGATATCCTGATTGTGTTTCCACAATACTCAAATTATTTCTTTCTGGCTGCTTGAAATAATTTCTCCTTGACCTAGAAACTTTGGAATTGGGCTACAATATTCCTAGGAGTTTTCCTTTGGGGCATCTCTTTCAGGAGGTGATCAGTAGATTCTTTCAATTTCTATTTTACCCTCTGGTTCTAGAATATCAGGGCAATTTTCCTTGACAATTTCTTGAAAGATGATGCGTAGGTTCTTTTTGATCATGGCTTTCAGATAGTCCAATAATTTTTAAGTTATCTCTCCTGGATCTATTTTCCAAGTTAGTTGTTTTTCCAATGAGATATTTCACATTGTCTTCTATTTTTTCATTCTTTGGTTTTGTTTTACAGTGTCTTGATTTCCCATAAAATCACTAGCTTCCAATTGCTCCATTCTAGTTTTTGGACTTCCTTTTCCATCTGGCCAGTTCTGCTTTTTAGAGCATTTTTCTCCTCATTGGCTTTTTGGACCTCTTTTGCCATTTGGATTTTTTGCATCTCCTTCAGCAAGCTGTTGACTTCTTTTCCATGATTTTCTTGCATCATTCTCATTTCTCTTCTCAGTTTTTCCTCTACTCCTCTTATTTGCTTCTCATTTTTTTTGAGCTTTTCCATGACCTGGGACTGATTCATATTTTTCTTGGAGGCTTTGGATGTAGGAGTTTTGACTTTGTTGTCTTCTTCTGGTTGTATGTTTTGATCTTCTTTGTCACCAAAGAAAGATTCTATGGTCTCACTTTTTTTTTTTACGCAGTTTGCTCATGATCCCAGTCAGTTACTTGAGTTTTAAACTCTTTGTTAAGGTTGGGGTCTCCTTCCAGTGTGGAGAATGTACTATTCCAAGCTTCAGGGATTTTGTGCAGCTATTTTCAGAGATACTTCTAGGGACCTGTAAATTTTCAGTTCT